ACCACCACCACCACCACCATGACTACGACTACGACTACGACTACGACTACTACTACTACTACTACTACTAATCCTCCTACTGCTACTGCTACTGCTACTCCTCCTACTACTTTTTCGTTTACTACTTTTACATTACCTCTGTCACTACTACAACCACAACCACCGCCACTGCGTTTACACCGCCAAAACATCACCGCCGCCGCCGCCACTGCCACCACCACCGCCACCACCACCACCGCAACCATCAATTCTTGCTAATTCCAGGTCACGCCTTTCGCTTCCATCTTGCGGTCGGTGCAGCTTCGGTCAAAGCAGCGAGAGACGATCATGAAGCTTGGCAAGTGCTGGAGGGTTGTGGGGCCTATACCCTACGCTCCAGGGGGCAAGACTTTAGGATGTCAATAGCAGATGTTGGACATATGCATCAGGTTTTTAGGGCGTAACGGTTTTGGATTCGAGGGTCAGCTTCAACCTCAGCAGGTGTCTTCGCAAGGTCTGTCAAGCCTGAATCTAAACTGATGATCCCCTGCAAGTGTAGACTGCAAGAAAGCTGTTGTAGGCTGTAAGGTGAAAGGTTGGTACCGTCCAGGTGAGGATCTGTTGTGTTGCCCCATGCTGCCCCGTTTAACATATACGTTGAGCAGACGAAGCTGGATGCAGGACTGCCGCAACTCGGCCTTCTGCTTGGCGCAGCATGCTGGGCAACAACAACAGCAGCTGGGAAGCAACAACAGAAGCTCAAAGTCTTGGAAGGCTTAGCGCGCACAGCTATTTGGAAAGAAAATGCTTCTGGCGGACATTACAACGTCTGTCAAGCACACGTATCATCTATGCATGTCAGGTTTCTTGCAAGGTCTGGGGGCTAAGTGTTATGCGTGCTGAAGAGGAACACTTGGCATCTTTTTTGTTTTCCTGATCCTCCATGGGTGCAAAGCGAGCGTCAGTGCGCATGGTCAGGGTTTGCTAGGAGGCCTCAGGTCTCCTCTGCAGGTCACCTCATGTGTGTGTATGCGTCTGTAGCAGCTGCTCGTAAGGGGCCGGAACGTCAAGCTATCTTGGTCCGTGCTTGGTATACGAGGAAGGGCACGACTCAATTTCTTGCTTGAACTTGCCAGGCTCCTTAGTCTGGAAGTTGGACCCAGGCCTCCCAGACAGGGGCAGCATTCTACCCTTGGAGCCCTCTCAGTCATAGCTACAATGCAACAGACCCTGAAACCTTCTTGAACAACATCGGCCCCAAACTCTGAACCCCAAAACCTCAATAGAGTTTCTTATTCTTGGGTACAGTATTTAGGTCTCCAGTCTGGGCTCAGGCAATGAGGCCGAGGATCCCAGGATGGGCCTTCAAAGGCTCGTGGAGGTGGCTGCGGCATTTAATTTTGGAAGAAGTGGCTTAGGGTCCAGGATTCGGGGTTTAGATTAGATATCATTGTTTTGGGTTCTGGATGAATTTCGGGCGTGGAGTTTTGCGGATTTTCTCTTGTGGTATCCATTTAGGGTTTGTCGTGGTTGTTTGATTTTTCATGTTTGTGCTAAATTGTACATGAGGATTGCAAGCAAAAAGTGTGACAGCCGGAAAATGACCTGCAGCAGGGCGCAGTGCCCAAATTCTGGGATTCTGGGTCTTGAGTGCAGGAATTAGGGCTAAGGACCGCTGCTGAAGGTGCGGAGCCATAACCCTAACACTGTGACAGCTGCTAATACCTCCATGCAAGCCTGGAATCCTTAGGGCTTCATTTATCAAATGTTCACCGTCAAAGTTATGGATGGGCATAGGGGCGAGTGTTTTGAGAATGCATGATGGTGGTCCCAAGCCTGCACCTTGCAATGATGAGGGAGCGAGGATTTGGATAGTCCAAGAGATGCTCAAGATTCTGGCAGGCTCAGGGACGAGCTTCGTAGATTCAGGTGATTTGGACCTGTACTGTATAATACTGTAGTGATGCACGCAACGAGCATGACGATGATAATGGTGATGAGAAACGGAAATCTTGATGGCAATGATAGCGGTGCTGGCTGTCCTGCTGCGGCAGTACCGAGAACTTGCAGCGTATCACCCTCCCAACAGCAATAAAACCATCTTCATAGGATGCTAGTCCTATGTTAACAAGATTGAAGTGGGGATTCTCCTGTAACTGGTAGGTCGTCCCATGCCACCATGTGTTCCTGGTACCCACGGCGCAGCGTTGCCAGCAACTCATAGATACCTTGCTGAACCAAAATGTTACAACATACTCCAATCTACCAGTACATGCTCCTATCGTATTGAAGGCATCCATATAACTGGCCGCGCAATCACATGCTTCATTCGGGATTGCATATACCGTGCCTCCCAACCCTCCTAGGAGCTTGTGGTGGTACCAAAGAAGCATCTTGGCGAGCAAGTCCGAAACCTACTCGGGTGCGGCACCTGAATAAAGTGTCTATAGGATTCCTTTGAATGCAGCTCGTGGCCTTTTTCTGGGGACTTCTTCACATTTCAGGCATGTTCGTTTTATGATTGTAAGGGTTGATGCAAATTCGGATTTACTAAGCCTTTGGACAGTTGAAGCTTTAGTCTGGTAGTGGCTGTCATTCAAGTCCGCCTAGTAGGATGGTCAGGGTGGGCTGCGTTGCAGGAATAGACTTACTGGTGCTTGAGGTGTAATAGGGAAAAGGGGTATAGGTACTAGTGGAGTTTACAGCCGCTCCGATCCTCATGAAGGAAGGAACGGAAAACAGAATAGTTATAGAATTGGGAATTTTAAAGGGGCTGTACTATTGGGATACATTCTGTCCTTCCCTGCTGCCAGCCAGGAATAGGAATGTCCCTACAACAAGTTTGTAATGACCATGTAACCCTGCTATTGATGATCAGCCTGTCAAGCTTTCATAAATCAAGCTGTGATAAAGCTGTTCTACACCGCATGCCTGGTAAGCAGGCTGAGTTGCAATCTTCTTTTTTCTCACGGTGTGTTGCAACTTCCACCTGTATCTTGAAGTCCATGCTGGGTAGCTTCAAGAGATAGCTATTGAGATGACCTGCTTCTTGCAGCGAGTTTGTACTGCAATTACAGGGCCTGATGTTTGCGGCCACTGCTAGCAAAAATCCCTGGGCGTTTGTGCACAGTTGGATCCGTTTTCACGCCCGCAAATCTGGGTGTGTTATGAAGAGATGGTATCCTGTGGAATGTCAAAAGCGGTGTGTGACAGCTGGCCATGTGAGGATCTACTTCTACTGGATCTGCCGGGGCCAGGCTGGGTTGTCGGTTTCTTGCAAATCCTCGGTGCCATAGCGTTGCTTAGGGGGGAGTGGGGAATAGACCGGGAATAGATCACTATGATCATCCTGTATTACTTAATACCCTGCAGTAGTGCCTGAATTCTCCCCCCCACGCCTTTAAGGACCAATAAGCTGCTGCAGGGATCCGATTGCCTCAGCAGGGACTTCTTATTGATTACATGCAAGGTGGTATTCGTAGGGCACACACAACAAAGCCAGGTCGTTAGCTTTGTCCAGGTCATTCATACACGATTATGTGAATGCCACTTGGAACCGTGACACTTTTTAAATTATGCAGCCCTGTAACCAGCTGACGAGCCGACAAGCACTGAAGTTGGGTTTATGCTTTGGGAACGTCAGGGTCCATTGGGGAACTTGAGACCGCCCATGCTCTCTACAGCATCTCCATATGGCTAAAGGGTCCTCAAGGGTCCTGCTATGTACGGAAAACACGGAAACCACAGTCTAAAGGTTACAAGACCGAATCTGCTGCTGAGGGATATCTTGCACCCCTTCACATACCTGAAAATACATGGAACCCCATTGCTGTCTCCTACCTGCAACATACTTCCAGGACATTTATGCAGATGGCATGTCCATGGCCTTGGCTATCTAAGAGTCGTGTTAGACGAAACGGAGAGCCAGAACTGCAGACGATGAGCCCGCATCATGGCAAGTTTCGGGCTTGTCAGCTCCTATTATTGTTTAGGTGTTCATGGGATATGGTTTTGGGTTTAGGAGTTTAAGGGCTTATGGGGTAATGTCAGATGGTGTAAGCAGCGCTGCTTGAGTTTAATTCTTCCTGAACCCCACGAGCACCTCGCCATTTCAGGAAACAAGAGCAGAAGAAACGCAGTTGTTGTACAAGCACTCTTAATTTAAGGATATGGTGGCTACACGCAACCATTGCAGTGATTCCACAACTTCAAGCGAAGCTTGGTAGACCACATAGCAGTAGAATCCTTAAGATGCAAGCATCCTGCTCCATTATGAGGTTTTGGCAGTCATCATGAACTATAGCGAGTAAGATAGTTTACTGTGCTCTTGAAACTCAGCATATTTGATATGTCTGTCTATATTAAATTTACTCTTTGACACACACGCACATATCCCAGGTTCTGTCTACTTTAAAGGATGACTATGAAGCCAATCCAAATGCTGCCCCAAGCTCGGCCCCAAGACCGCCGAAACCACTCTCGAGGGGTGGCAACTCTCCTCCAAATTTCCACAGAACCTTCAAAATCCTTTTCAACGGAACAGTTGTGCTTGAAGAGCCTTGCTTTGATAATAACTTCTGGGAGCGTAACCCTCCAGGAGGAGTTTGACTGGTTCTGTGACCTCCTCGCCGCCGCGGCAGACGGACCAGCTGCAGGCCAGTCTATGGTCTATGTATAGATACTATCCCCCAACAATGGAGAAGCGAATGCAAGAGAACAGGGAAAATGAAATGGACACTGGGTTGACTCTTCAGGCTTGAGGTTTCAAGCATTTTCAGGTTCAGTGTTGAAGGGGGTTCAGGCTTCAGGCAGTCTAGGGATATGGGGGTTCAAGGAGTATGAGTTTTTATTGTGTCCCCACATTCTGAACCCTACGCATCAACCAGGCACCCACCAAGTCCTTCAAGTAACGTTAATCTGGCAATTCTATAGCAGTGATATGGCCTTCATACATGGTGTATATGTGGTTTGCGTAGTGATGTAGTGCAGGGTGTACATGCATAGGCATCATGTATCGTAAGCATGGGCGTTGCAGTACATGGTGTTCATGGGGTTAAGGGCATCACGGACTTGCCACTTCGCAGTATGGCTTGGGGGACGATTTGACAACCAAGTGTTTGGAGCGAGAGATATTGACCTGGCCTGACAGGCAGGCCAGGGCAAAACTTCAAGAGAGCCTTTACAGGGGGATATAGGGGATATATAGGGATAATGGAAAAGAACATGCAAACTACTCTTTAGGGTTTAGGGCCTACACTGGCATTTCTACTAAACTTAAACCTGAAGCTGCGTAGCCTTTTGATTGTCAAGACTTTCTTCCAAGTTCTTTTAGCATCTAGGGATAGACCTGAGGGTGGCAACTGGCAAATAATATGATCCAGCAGCTAGAGGACTTCAATGTTGGGGTTCGCAGATCTCAATTCTCTGCATGAGGTGATTAAATTGCATGTGTATGTATGTATACATATATACATACATATATATATATATATGCCCAGAAACCCAAGACCCTTGAGTAAGCTTCCCAGAAGCGACAAAGGAGCAAGTGAGCAGCATGGGGACCTCCTTCCCTCAACTACGGAACCCAAAGCATAGGACTGCTAGCCGCTAGCCCTCAACCACAGGCTCTTGCCGCGCGCAGGGTGGGAGGGCTCTACTCCCCCAACCTTGCCACACAGAGACCAGTTTCCTGAAAAGCTTTCAAGGTTCAGGGATTTCGAAGTTCTAGGGCTTCTGTGGGTGCAGCCGGAAGGTATTGTGGATATCACGCTCTTCCTCACGGGCGAGATCGAGCTTGGCCAGGTACCGACCGCCAAATGGTCAGCTTATATCCTTCATAGCATTGCGCTCTGGAAATGGTAAAGATAGCAAATGCAGCCGGTACCAAGTAATTGTTTCCCAGTGAAGCCCTCTAATATGGTTGAGATTTTCGAGGTTTTAAAACCATCTAGGTTTGGCGATTCTGGGGGCGGCGGAGCTTTGCGTTTCATGAGGTTGAGTCAGAAACTGCTTGGGTTCTTCAAGAACCTGAGCTTCTAGAATTTCTTCAGCGCGGATACAACCAAAGAAGAGCGGAAAATCAATCTATCAGCTGTAAGCTATGAAGAGCTTTGCCATAGGAGCATCGGGATACTTGAGTTTGGAAGATGCTCAGGACATGTATATATACATGTATATATATATATGTATATGCACGGGCTCGCGGCTGGACTAGGGTGAGCGTCTAGCTTAATTAACCTGCGCCCCGTAATTAACATGCCTATGATTATTTCAGGTGGGTATTTCACTTTGATAAGACACGCATGAGCACGAGGCCTCCCAAATACACCTCGAGGGTCCCTCTTTGCTGCACCCATAAATTAACCCCATCTGCACTAATCACAGCTGTTGGATAACCCTAATGCTGATAGGCACAAATTGAGACCCGTGGGCTCATTACCAACAAATTCCTCCCCACGTTAGATGCAATCCTTCGAGCCCTCTCGGGTTTCAGGACGAATTAATCAAAGCTGTAACAACTCCCATGCTTGTGAAGTGTACGTTTGCATGGACTATCGAAAGAAGCGATTCAAAATCCCGATCGGGGACCATGGAAATTGCACTGAGGTTTCCTAGAGATGCTGGCAGTCTACCAGAGGTTTATGGGGCCTTGAAGCGGCCGCAATTTATCTACATGGCTCTGATCATCAGCTTATGATACGCACCTTTCTTTGACCAGAGGCGTGTGAGATTGTTTTTAGTACGTCATTCACTCCTCAACGTTGTGAAGAAATTCATCCGTCCCTATACGATACTATGCTCACAAACTCCAAAACTGCTGAGTAAGGAGGTGGAGTGAAAACAGTCTTGGACCTTCGGCTTTGTGGACTTGCGTCGTTTAGGGCGAAGTGCAAATGCCTTAAAGCATATGGGATTGAGCAAAGCCCGGAACCAAACTACCAGAAATCATCTTTGCAAGGACTATGATATCAACCCAACAGTCGGAATCGGTGCAGCGCGAACAGCACTGACGGTAACGAAATGAACGTACAAGGAGCAAGGACTGGAATTGTCTTCAATACGTCTTACGCCTTCAGGGGCTCTTTAATAGCTATGCTACCTAAGCTCCAGATGTCCTAGATGGTAGTCATCAAGATGTATTAGGTACCTAGGGGGGCCTTACAGAGTGAACTTCTACTTCGGGGGCCTGTAGAAAGCACCGTGGAAGGTCAAGAAGCTGCCCTGTGCCTCCGGTCAGTTTTTCGGCCGACCTAACTGGGGCCGCATCTTCAAGCAGTCTCCTGACTGCAAGACGGCTAGCGGCTAGCTGGACCACAACGTATTATGGAACAATAGCCTTTAGAAATATTTCTTCTTGGTTTTGGGCAATGATTTTGCCTGCTTGGGGTCCAGATACCCGTTATCATGCTTGTTGCGAATGAGCATGATTGTCATGAGCAGTACTATCTCTCAATATTCCTATCTGTTTCTGCTCCTGCTTAGTCTCGTGATCAGTTGTCCATCTTCCTTTTTCTTGTCCTTGCTACCTTTCGAGAATACTTTCTACTAGTGCAGGTCTTAGGGTAGACAGGGCTTGAGATTCAGAGCTTGGGCTTCTGAAGCTACGTCTGCAGCTTTGCATTCATCAGTTGTAGTGGCAGGAATGGAAACTCTTGGAGCGTCATCTGAGCTTTGGATTCTGCAAGGTGTTCAGGATACAGTTTGATCCAGGATTAAGCTGCAGTTGTCGCGTTTAAGCTTGACAGGCTTTGAAGCTTACATGTTTCCAGTCTGTCCTGCTGCTTGGTTTTAACTAGAGCTCCTTTTCATAATTTATCATTACTTCTGGGTAGCTTTAGGCCCTGCCGGGAGCGAGGCATGGCTGTGCTTCAGTCCCAGAACGCCAAGGTCAACAGGTAAGGCCTAGAATCAAGATACATTCCCAGAAAGAAGCCGTGATCCTGATATTTCCCCGCATTCCTGCGGCGGTGGAGGGGGTCCCAGCAGGGTGTTCTACGTTCATTGATCACCGTATGGGGTCTGCATGCCCCTGGAGGAATCTAGTTCCTCTCCTGCATTCGATATGGTAGGTTGTTGCTTTTGCAGGGCTTCCTACAACAAGGATCCCACGACTGGGGTATACCAGTGGGATCCTTATCCCGCGAAACACCCATAAGGGCTGCAACCTTTGAATGCTGTTTGTTTAGCAGGCATTCTCGAGAAGAACGCACATAAAGTTGGCAAAACGAAACATGGACAAAATCAAATCTTGCTGGTCACCTACTAGTATGATTGCTTCTCCCAGTTTTTCTGCAGGTGTGCTAGTAATTCGCGGCACGGCAAGTTTGTTGTAGTAGCAACAGCAGCACAGCAGTCTCCTGCTGAAGTCATGGAAAGATGGAATACGGATACAACAAGTGCCGTTTAGATTCTCAGGAATCGCGAGAAGCACCAGGGCGAACACATCGGTGTGTTCCTGCAGCTGGCTGATAATTTGGATCCGCAACCAGGATTAGGGCGAAATTGACTACGACCGTAGGGGGAGATTAAGCCAAGTACAGAATTGCCACTTAATTGGACCGTGGGCCAGATTGCCAAACATTGCAAGATCGTTTATCTTGACATGGTGTTCTCTCGCGGTGCTGGTCCATCCGGTTTGCTTTGATTTAAGTGGATGACCACCTGCGAAGCTCCAAGCAAAGCATACGGTGCTTGCATATACTAGAGCCCTAACCCAAATTGCAGATGCTCTACCTTAGAGCGAGAGAGAGAGAGAGAGAGAGAGGCTTCAGGGTCCCTTTGGCTTGGGGTGTGTTGCGAACTTGGCTTTTGCGGGCAGCTGCAGGGATTCGGGGATTAGGATTGGTGATTCTCAAAGTTGCAGCTTCGGGCATGGAGCCTCAGTATCCAGTATGACAGGTGCCTATACAAAACATCCCAAGGTCTCGACGAAAGTAGAGGTGGACTCAGCATAGCGTCCCTGCAATGGAGGGTGAGACTGGTTGCACATTTTTGGGGGTGGGGGGGTGCTGCATTTGGGCCAAGGGTTCCTGAAGCCTGGGCCCTTCGAAGTATACTTCCACAAGCTATCATGAAATCACACATAGCTTTTGTGACAATAGCAAGGGCCCCTTGGGCGGCACCATGTCGCCCAAGAGTTGAGCGAAGCGGACAAAAGACCTTCCGGGGCAAGTACAGGGCCATGCATTGGAGGTACTAAAACCCAGAGGGTAAAGCTTGACCAAGCTCCTGTCTTTATCTATATTGGGAATCCTGTTACATGGGCCATGGGTCCTTGGGAACCACAGGTTTACGAATCCGAGGCCTATTTCACTTAGCAGGAAGTTAGCTCCTCAAATAAGATCAAGCGGACAGGCATGGAAACAGAGGTTACAACAGTGATATTGTCAGTCCGCATGCCATCCACTCTTTCATGGAATAGCATACGAGCTACTGTCAATATTGGGGTTACAAAGGGACCAGAAGGGTGTGCATACAGGTTTCTTTGGTAGTTTAGTAGTGTCCCTAGCATCTTCCCTAATGAGAACCCATGTCCATTAAGCATGTGGGAACTATTAACTGTACCTTCCCGAAGACAAACATGGACCCCAAATAAACATGGAACCAACGTAGGGGCCCTGCGAGCACTAGAGTCCTCTTAAGTCTTAAGATCTATATGATCTTCCGCTAGTTTTGGAGGAGGATAAGCCCTCAATCAACCATGTATCATGCGAGGTGTGGTTCCCCCATCATCGGCGAAGAACTTTCAAGGCATACGACTCACTGAATTCAAGCTTGGGGAACTGGACATCTGGCTGAGTTTCAAAGTGCAAGCTGCAGATGCGTGACGGTCAGCGCTTAGGGTAGCTGAAGCTATGGTTGGTACATCCATTTTTGCTGCATGGCCCTTGAACTCAGGGTGCTACTTCCACGTCAAGAGTGCGCACGTTTTGAATTGTACGGCGATAGGGTTTGGGTGCCATTTCCATATTGATAGACATGCAGTCCACATGTGAAAAGATCCTAGTGGTCCGGGCTCATGTGCAAATATTACTGTACGACCTCACCTGGACACACCCAAATTTGATCATGACAGGTTTGAGGTTTTTGCTTGCTGTGGTCACTACCGCTACAAACCCAGGACTCCCATGCAGTCCCTGTTAAGCGTACTTCACTGGGTTTCTCAACACAGACAGGAGCGCGCTTAGGGACCCAGGGTTGTACCGGAAGACCAGGAGATTGAGCAAGGCCCACTGCAAGATTCTACAGGATCCTATTACCATCGGGCGTGGCCAAGCAAAGGACCATGCAGGCACCCATCCATGCCTAGAACATTCTCGAGAGCCTATAGAAGCTGGGCATAGCCTGTAGAGGCTGCAAGCCACAAATAGGAGATTCTGCTTATCCAGATCGTCGTGTTTAGGGTGTTTGCATATACAGTGTATGTACGTATGCATGTATGTATGTATGCATGCATGCATGCATGCATGCATGAATGGATGGATGGATGGATGGATGGATATATGTACATATATATGAGCAACCCAGAATCTGAGCCCCTAAGCAGAGTGGAGAATTCACGTTGCATAGCAAGTCTACCCGAGACAGGCCACATAAAGCCACGCAAGCGTTGCGAGCTTAAGCTGCGCATCACACTTCGTAGTTCGTGTGTAATCCCTGTAAAGGCACATGTAAACACATGAAGGCAGAGCATCAAGAACTCTGATCTCATCGGCACCCCGGGTGGCACCCGCTTCAGCTTCTTCAAGGTCGGCAGCACCATGGGAGCTTCTCAACATGGGGAGGGAGGGGGTTCTCAAAGTTGTGCCTTTGTTTTGGAGTGAGGTCCTGACAACTGCAACGATATTTTGTTGCGACTAACCCCCTGTTGAGAAGTTCCTCAGATGATAATTTCATGCTAGCAGGGAGTTGGATTTGCATTCTAGGGTTGAGGGATTGCGTTTAAAGATTTTGAGTTCAAGGCTCATGGTCTAGGAGTCAGGCTTAATCTTTGGGAACTTCTCTTGAAGCGAATAGGAAACTGGGGAACCCGTGTTGTTTTTTTTGCTGTTTGGTCTTTCTTGTTGTTAGGCCCCAGCCAGCCCAGGCAGGCACGTCGGTAAGTGAGTGAACTCCCGTCCACGCCCAGACAGCAAAAAAACAACATTCCCCCGCCCAACCGGCAACAACTAAAACACGCCCCCCACCCAAACAGCAAAAAACAAAAAAAACGTCCACCCACCTCCCCCCCAAACAGCAAAAAATAAAACACGCCCCCGCCCAAGCAGCAAAAAATGAAACACGCCCCCGCCCAAACAGCAAAAAACAAAACAACCGAAAAGCCCAAACAACAAAAACGACCAGACAAAAAAAAATCAACACTCTTACCAGGAAACTGGTCTAGGGATAAGTTCTAGACAGAGCTTCGTGGACCAGAGATAAAAGGATGATGCAGGCATAGGCGGTGTTCTACAGTTTGTGTTTCCCTCTTCCTCATTTCATTCTAAATAATGCGAATTTGTTTAGCTTGGCTCAATTTTTGTGTATGCCCACCGCATGAAATTGAGTGAACGACTTTTCGAAAGGGAGCACGCGCCAGGAACGGTCGATCTAGTACTGCGTGCTAGCGTCTACTGGCCTTGCCCTCCTTACTTACTTGAAGCAGCTCACTCTGGCGCGTTGCAGAATTTTATTTGTTCCCTTCCGTTGGTGAAACTGGCCCAATATCAATCTATAGTTATTGCCGGAGCATAGACAAAAACGCTGACAGGTGATATCATTTTCAACATTGTAAGAGATAATCGTGGGGTGTAGACCACCGAGGTATGTCTGGGGTCCATCACCAGACGTATCGCCTGCTGTAATCTTTGCTCCTGGCCTCTAGCATAACATGTCCTTGGAACCGAATTGTCACTATTGCCATCCAGGATACATGAGAAACAGACTGGTCGATTCTGTAGGAGGGCACTTCCCGAGCTGCTTTTGTAAGGACTTCGGGGTTTGCCGGTAAGCAACAAGCCTAGACTGAGAACCTGGCGCGACATCAGGAGAGACCTGTAGCCGGGAATCTTCAAAGACTTCAGCTTGGATATTATAAAGTAACATTTTACCTTGGGGGAAACTGTCCGTATTGTGGTATTGTTATGGGTACTGAGCAACATTCGGGGATCAGAATACCATTTAGGCCGCTAGCTGTCATCCAAGGTTTAGCCAAAACCCTGAACCCTACCCATCAACAGCCGGGATTCCGCCATATGTGCCTCCTGTACAGTAGAGGCGTCTGTAGTAGTACTTTTATATTTGGATCTCCATTTTGGGGGAAGCCCCAGATCCTCCAGGAGCACTTCTGAGCGCTTGTTACCTTCACACCGTGGCTGCCGGCCTCTGTGCCTCGGCAACAGAAGATTCAGGGTGCAGGGACAGGAATCCGTGTTGAGGACTGAGGGCTCCGTGAGGTTCAGCGTGTAGGACTCATTTTTTAAAGAAGGTTAGGAGGGGCTTGTAACAGACTAGGGTCTTGAGAGCCTAGCATGATTCTTTAGTGCTTCTGCGGGCTTCTGGGCTAGGACTAGGAAGACGTCACGGCTTGAAAGCTAGTAGAAATGTTCCAGGGAGCTATAGGGGCATACGGAGGATGTAGGGGCATATGGGAGCACATAGGGTCCAAAGATTCCGGCTTCCCTAAATCAGGTCTGACGAGGGCCTCAAATCCCATTAGCTCTGGGACTAGAGCAGGGAAAGACGGACCATCTTGAAGCATCAGTGCTACCATACCATAAGCCCAACTCCAACTTTGCACGCTAAACATCTAGAAAAGGCTTACGTCTTGCAAGTGTAGTTCCAAAGCCAGGACATTGAAAAACCGGCAGATTGGAGACGCAATGAAACCCCATGTCTCCAACCCACAGCATTGGCAATCCTAAGCACCAAAGCTAGACTCTGAGGATACAGATGCGGCCATATCCAAGTCTCCCAGGACGGCTCACCATTGCCTGGTGGCGTTGTTCGGGTTTTGGATTCAGTCACCTAGGGCTCAGGGTTTACAATGTTTGGTGTGTAGGGACTTGGGCTTTTGGCTCACGATTTGAGATTTTGGATTTAGTGCTTGGGTGTTCTTGTTATTCATTTGCACCATGGGTGCTGGGACTCTTAAGGCTTTGGTCCTTTTTAGCGTTCCTTGTTCATGTTAGGGCGTCGAGATTTTTCAGCCTCTTTTGATCAATACGGGTCATGACAGTTGTTAAGCATCTCTTTTGCTCATCTCTTCCTGTTTGCACTTAGGTTAGTGCTGGTAATGCGTCCTTGGCTTGGTGATGTTCAGAAAAACACGTTGGAAGCCTCCTCACCCACGTAGTGGTTGACCAGGTTCTGTCTCATGCACGGTGTAGCCAGCAGCATCGGATCAGGAATAAGGAGGCTCAGCCGAGTCTACAGGTAACCGGATCCAGGAGCTACGTAGTCCGATGGAATCCTGGGCAGTGACCACCACAAGCACTTTGAAATCCTCAAATGAAGGTGTTTCAAAGGGCCCACGAGTTAAGAGGCTGCCATGTGAATAGTCTTCGGCGGCTTATGGGTCAAGACTCGCTCATTCCCTGATTGAGCAGGGCCATTCTCGCATAATAGCTGCCACACGCTGTAAAAAACTCCATCTAGTAGTAGCGAGTCTGACCCTCAGGGTACAAGCGTCCGAGCACATGGTATATACCCAAACCCCAAAGTGTCTTTATACAGGAGTTCTTTTGGTCCCAAAAGTATATGCCATGATGGATGCTTGGACTTTTCGGGTAATGTTCGCGTAGCCAGGGCTGAAATGTAGGGCGCCAGATTCGGCTAGGAGGGGACATGTCAATAGGGGTTCAACGCGTGTTGCGATAGGGGAAGAGCTCAGTCCTTACAAGTCTCAGGGCTCAGGGTTACATATCTTGATGACATCCAAGACCCACGGTGAGAGTCTTTGAGTCAGGGGTGGTCCAGAGTTGAGCAAAGGTGCAGAAACTGGATGATGTGAGAAGCAACTTTCACCCGCTTGCAGGCATTCCCCATCCCACCAGGGAAGGCCAAAATCTATGGAGAGTGTTTGAATCTATGAAGTTCTTCAGCTGGCATTATCACAGCTCCCCGAGAGAGATGCTAGTTTGAAGAGAACCCCTGCACAAATTTTGGAAACTTCCGAGATTCGCCTACCAGGCTGGTCACTTTGAAGCCCACGCCTCCAGACAACCGTGTATGCCTGGTCCTATACAGCCACTTGCGCATGATTAATCTTTAACGCTTTTGTTCACTTTTTGTATGGAGCAACGTTGAGAGGAGTTTGGGAAAACGAGTTGGAACTTACCACTCGTATAGCAATTGACTAGCCCCAGACCCTGAGCCTGCTCAAGCTGGTCCAGTAGACTTGCTTCAGAGTGCGCGCGCGCGCGCTTTTTTCAAACAAGTGAGCGAACTACAGAAGGGGGTTGAATCTGCGATTTTCTGTTGTATGGGGCAGGACCTAAATCCCCAGACGTCGACGTAAAAAATGAGGAGCCAAAGCCTAAAGACCTCAAGCCTGAAACCAGTAAGGCCATGACTGGTCTCCGCCCATGTGGCAGCCACAGAGTTTTGTTGATGTTTTCATGTGCCGTGCATGCGCATATGCATGCTCATGCTGGGTAGAGAAGTTAGTGGCTCGCAGATATCATTCGGGGCACCTATTATAAAGCTCAACCTGAGCCAGCTAATACTACAAGTGAAATAGCTAGACGTATCTGAGCTGTCCCAGTATTAGGCAGGTACCTTCACATTTTTATCCCAAATACGTACTTGAAGGAATTCCGTTGAATTCAACGAGCTATACTGTTGAAATCAGGGCTTTAGCCCTCAAACCAGGAAGCCTTAGCCAAAAACTTGCTGCTCTTCCTGCCTGGCACGCCTGTCTAGTCTGAGCTGAAGCCCTCCAGCATCCCGGTGCGCTTGTCAGCTTATGTGTTATTAGCTTTGCTTTCCGGGGTCATTCCTATGTGGGCTCCAAGGCTACACAAATGAACATTTGGAACCTGATTGCATGGGGATAATGTGGAGGTAGACAACATCAAATGAGAAATTACATGTTCAGACCGACTGTTGCGGCTATAAGGCCACCTCCATTGGCGGGGGGCTCCTTGCAGAGTAGAGGAACATGATCAGCTACAGTAACTTCTGGCCATCACAGTTTCGTGTTCTCTGGGCTTTTAGAGAGTATTGACTGTGGCCCGATCTCTGTACTCTTTGCAGCCATGAAGGTGCACAGCTGGCGTTCGAATAATGGCTCCCCGCGTTCTCATTACAAGAAAATCGTTCCGTTGAAGCGTATTTCTCAAGCTCGGGTTGCCCCCCCCCCCAAATGTTCCCTCAACATGACGTCTTCCTTAACGCCCGGACACAAAAGAGAGAGTCACAAACTGAGAATCCTTGAATGGAATACACCCTCATTCGCGCGGCGTGCCAGTAGAACCACTTCTTTTTGTTTGTTTTTTCTTTCATGTGCAAGTTGTCGAAATTATGTGCTCATTCTTTTGCAGTCTTTATTTAATGCGGACCTCATCATGTGTGAATTGAGTGCTGTGTAAGAGCTATAGACATGTGAGGCTCCCCAACCTCTAGTCCCAACTTCTGGTCAGCCGGCATCTGGGGGGATTCGGTTCTGTATCTGCTAAGCCGCATTGGAGCAGATTTTGTTTCTGGATGGCCGCGAACTCGCGCTTTCCTGGAACATGAATTCAGCATGGCTGTAGCATGCCTAGAACTTGCACTTCTACTCGATGCCACCATCAACAATGGTCTTTGGGTGATTTCCGAACAACTTAGAAGCTTTTCTCTTGCCGTCATTCGTCCGAGAGCGAGGAGATCAAGCTTCGTAAATTGCAACCTCTGCTGGGTTTCTAAGTTCTCTTTCTCTGTCAATAAACCCAGGGTTTTCAGAACTCGGCTGTCGGCACATTTGTAGATGGATGTTGCTAGTTCTCCTCGGAACACCTGCGGAGCTAGTTTACAAGGGGACACCGTGGCTTCAAAGTTGCAACATGTAAGCTGCTTGCCTTGCCTGTCTAAGCCCATCACTTCCAAGGCGCCAACCGTTGACACCAAACCAAAGCCTGCACTGTCAAACTGGGGCTCTTGCATGGCATTCGCGTCCGGCTCTTTGCGTGCTGACGCCACTGCCGTGCTGTTCATCTCATGCCTCAGGCTACAGCCATGCGGTGGTTTCCCCCACGACAGGGGCAGGGCCGAACAGATCTTCAGGTGTTGAAGCCACTCTAGCTACACATAAGTTTAGAATTTGTGTCTAGGTCCTAGCCTCAGGCTTAGTTCATAAGGTCAAGCTCTGGCCTACAATCCGAAAGGTAGCGCACTGAGTAGCAATAAAGTGTTGCATACAATGATTACTCTTTATATGACTACTATACTTGTTATTATCACTACAATCGTTAAGATTATTGCGAGTATTTTTATCATTATTAGCAATAATAGTAGTACTTGGACACTCTCAGGCAGAATGCCTCGGTCGTTGGAAGCCACGTGCACGAACAAAGTCACAATCGACGCAGGTACTATGTGGTCCCTTGATCTGTGCCTAAAACTACTGGCCCCAGGGAGATTCAGTGGATATACAAGGAGATAGAGGTGTGTGTGTGTGTGTGTGTGTGTGTGTGTGTGGGCGTGTGTGTGTGTGTGTTTGTTTGCGTGTATCTGCATCATTTACTTGTATTTCTTGATTTATGTTTGCAGGAGATGTTTGCTGCCAGAAAGTTTCTTCTGGATCCCTGATGACTTCCACGACCCATTGCAGAGCAGGTACCCAAAGAAACAATTGCGTAGCACGCACGCAGCACATTGCTCTAGACTCATGTCAGGCTTGGAAGGGGCAACATAGCAACTGCCATTGAATGTGTCGCCCGCGCCTCAGATACCTGAGACACAGGTCGATGCGACGTTCCGCGCCGTCAGCAGCATTCTGCTGGAGAGTCCAACGTGCAAAAACACGATGTGAAGGCATCCCTTTCATCATTGATTCATGGAAACAATGGCACGGACCCTTCAAGCTTACAGTGTCGGGGTTGCTGGTGGCCTCGTTCTGCGGGCTAACCTGCCCTTTGAATGTTACAAGCTTGGGTCCACCAAGGTAGGATGCTCTGAGGCTTTCAAAGGGGGACCTCCGGAGTATCTGCCAGACAAGCCTCGCCCACTGCCAGCAAAAACCGAGATCATGCAACTTTCGCTCCCCTACCTATGCTGAAGACTCGCCTGCACTACAAGCCATAGTCATGTGACAATGCGTGCTTGCGGTATGTGGACCTTCCTACTTGCAAGTTTGCCGTCGAGCTTATTTAGTAAGCTTGCGGCATTCCTATGCCCACGTGGAAGTTGCTTGAAGAAATATCCCTCCCTAAAGGGTCAAACTTTCAGTCTTCAAAGCCGTCCTGTAGCCATCCTAAACCTATACTACGGTACATTGTGCCCAAATCCCCAAGTGCCCATTGTTCAATGTTTGGACGCTTGCAGACTTCCATTAAAGGCTTCAGATGCCTTCTTATAATGTCTCGAGAAAGTCATTCATTAGACCCAACACATGTTTCGCAGTCATGTACTATGTCCTCAGCTGACTGTTGAGTCATGTGTGGAATGCCACCACATTCGGACATTCGGTTGTGCCTAGAACTATAAAAAATCACACTGTTGTTAGTGATCCCTGTATGACTCAGCACAAGTACGACCACTGCCACTAGTTACCCGAATTTCCCAGTCAGGATATCGGAATTTCACAGTTATCCAAGGTCTTATATTCCCCAAGGATATGACAGGTGTCCCAAGCCATATCCTGTTCTGACGCCTCCCCGCAAGATTTTGTGACTTCCGCGCTGGGCACCCTCATGGACAGCCACGAGTTGCTACCATCAGGGATTTTCCACCGAACACCGCCGCACCTGCAGACAAATTATTGATTTTGTCTGTGTTGCTGGGGGGTTTCAAGTGCTGCAAACACTTAGGGTTGGGTCTCAGGCATCTCCTTGTGCTAACCTAAATGCACAGTGATCCCAGACACTCTGAATAGCCAGAATGAATGTTATTTCGATCAAAATAGGTCACGGAAACCGCAGCCTGTTATCATTGAGTATTGGGAGGTCCATGTACTGGAGGTAATTCCTTGAAGGCGTTACACTTGATGGCCGCCCTCGGTTCGCTCTGCATAGCTGGTGTGGGCACTGACAGGTAGTTGCAGAAGCTAAGCCCAAACTAATCCCGAACCGGAAAGCCCATATACACGACCGAAAGGTACGAGTCATAGGCGGATTTCAATAGAAATGAACAAAAAAGAAATGCACGGCATCTCCGTTCATAAGGCCAAGGATCATGGCTGTTGTCCTATCGTCCTGTTTACGCTTGAGCGCAGAAGGCTTGTTTGTTCCTGGTGCTGACAACAGCACGGTCATGGCGCATCTGGCTCCATGGACTTTGCTGCTCCTATGCTTCCCGGATGAGATGTTCAGGTTGTCTTCTCTTGGTCAGGCCTCAGGGCCTAAGGGCTTGCAGCTCTTTGCGGGCCCTCATGTCTCTGTAAGTCTTGCAGGCAGCTTTCGGTCATATGAAGTCCCGAGGATTGAAGTTGGCGGATGTAGAAGGCAGAGGGTGCCATGTCATGGCATTTCTCGTCAAACGTTAAACACGCTTTGGGAGTTCAAGGGTAGCGAATGGGAGCTGAAGGAGCACGAGGAAGCACCCTTCGATGCCATTCTTTGGCCGCGATCCATAACAAGTGTATGACGACGCGGTGCCGAATCAGCACAAAAGGGACAGGTTCTGAACCACCCCCTGTGTCACGCTTCGTCTCAAGCAGGCAGAAACTGACCCCTAAGTTTTCCTGAAAACTCGCTGAGGTTCAGTCCAGGCGGACATGTACCTGAACAGCCTGGGGCCCAGTCTTCCCGCTGTGCTTGAGGTTTGGGCTCGCAATTTTGGGTGCAGTTAGGGTTGCAGGGTATAGGGTTCTTTGTTTTTCCTCCAAGTATGGCAGTGGAAGGTCGGTTGACGGTATGGAACTGTACAGACTGACCACACTTGTTAGTCCCGTATCCAGCCCCTCATCTCAACCCGGAAATTACCTGTGAGGCGAAGCAAGCGGTTCAGCACGCCTGGCATACCCCGTAAATCAGGATTCCTCAACCAGATCATGCATCTTGAAGTGCTCCTGATTCCTGACCCCTAATTCCACACCCCACCCTGGACCTGCAGCATCTAAGACCTGCCCAAAGTGTTCTCTCAACATGATGGATAGCCTTCCCTCTGCTTTTTAGCCAGGGGAGCATGGTATGGTAGAAGGAGTGTGAGCCGCTGATTGCTGTGTAGCTAAGACCCGCGTGGCTCGAACAACAAGCTGCGTGAGACGAGCAACAACGTTCAAAATGCCAACAGCCACTCGGGCACGCGCAAGTGGACAGGTATTGAGTGTGGCAGTTCTGGGTTCAGAAAGAGTAGGTGCCTTTAGCAGGACCTCTGCTTCAGCATTCATTCTAACAGACAAGATATCCGGCTGCCACGCATCCTGCCATAGGCTCAGAAGGTCAAGCTTTGAGGCCAGCATCTGGCCTGTTGCATAGCTCCAGACGCCGTACCCCTATGAAGCACTTTTTGGTACGCACGACCTATGCAAAAGTGTAAGGACTGTAGGATTCAGAGGTTGTTCAGTCTGCTTGTGTGTCCAGATTCCCTATCTTCAGACGGGTGTTGGAAATGCAGATCTGAGGTTTTGGGGTTCGCCTATCTCAGTGTATCAATGATTCTTCGGACTTTTGGGCCCTTGAAGTTTTCTACCACACGATGGATGGGTCATCTTTAAGTAGTCGAGCGGAAGACTCTTTCATTATCTGTGCCATTGAGGCCTAGCCGGAAGGCCTAGCCGGAACTACAGGCCCGTACTTGCCAATGAGGCAAGTCTGGGATGATCCCATAGCACCTACAACGGAAGCCTGAATACTGTAGCTTTTCAATGTTGATTTTATCTTGTCTAGTCCTTACAGAACAGTACTGCAAGATGCCCCAAACCTGTTCTAATTAAGCAGGCGCCTACAGTACCATCCGTAAAAAAAAACTGTACATAAAGCCACTTTCAATTTCATTCTCCAGTATTGAAATACCATTTGAAAAGGCCTCTATGTTACCCTCGTCAAGGACTTTTCGACTCGCAGAACAACGCAGCCTCTGGATATCAAATCGGTGATGACTGCAAACCAGCCTGCAAGGACTTCTGCACGCAGCAGGATGGAGAGTAGGCTGTAGAAGCCTGAGTTGTCACCAATATTTTTGTCGTGGAAACTTGTAGCCCTCGTAAATTGATGGTAAATGATGGTAAAGTATACACAACAAGACCCTATTCCAAGTATTCAGAAACCCCTACACTGTGGGGGTTTCTGAATTCTAACGGCCTTCAGGAACCCCAGCTATATCTGGATTAAGAGGAGGTTCTGGGATCCAAAATAAGGATTCTGTTGGCATGCTTGTTTGAAACTCCCATCTTCGGGATGTTCCCCGGCTCCTCCATCCAAATAATCTAGATGCTGTAATCCTCACTCCTCAGATGTTCATATCGTCTAATGAAAGCCACAGAGGCTGACACCGGCACTGGAATATCTGGAAAAGCCTTTTTGTTTCCCTCACCTACAGTCTATCGCCTTCACAGCTGACATAAAGCAGTACAGGCCAAATTGAGAATTCCGTTTTCCAAAAACATTTCAATGATCCACACCGCACAACAGGTGCTAAAGTTGCTACCGGCTGCTCTGTTTCAGGCAAGGTTTAATCGGAGTTCCGTTCACATCATTTGTCCGTCCGCACAGCCTCCACAGGAAAAGGCCTTTTCTGGGGTGTATTTGCAGGGTTCGCGATGGACGGATAGAAGGGGTTTGGGATTCAGGAACAAGAAGGTAATCAAGCAATTTGAGGTCTATCTGGTGGATCTTTGAAAGCCCTGGAACATCAAATGGTCGGCCAACAGCTTTAACAGTAAGCAAAATTGCACAGTAGGGCGGCTGCAGTTGTAGCTGCGTCACTGACATGCCCACAGGTTGGAGTTCAGGGTTAATGACAGGCTTGAACGCAGCCCAGACTCTGAAGCATCAGCCTTTAAGCTGTCTTCATCCAATCTGGCCATAGTGGCAGAAACCTAGATCTTCTGAACCCCAAATCTAAGCGTTCCTTCAGGAAGCATGACCTCTTTGGGCTGGACGTCTCGGGAAGTTGATTTTCTATCTGGTTTGTTGGGTTTTTTGTCCTGGCACTGCGGCAGTTTGTGCAAGGATGGCAACAACCAGTACGACGTTACCAAAGAGGGAGCCACAAAAGGGACGATGAAGTTCTACCAAGGCCATCGGATCTAAACCCACCTGGTCCGTTTAAAGGAATTTAAATCAAGCTAAATGAAAGTGCCATGTCAAAACGATGAGGTGCGGAGAGCAGTATGGTTTCCTCATAATGTTCACTTGGTTTTAGTGTGCAGGTCTTTTACAGCAACCCAGTCATTTGCTCACAGTGTTCCAGGCGTTCCAGGAGAGAAAAGCAGCTCAGTAGTTCCAACGGCCTGTGTTAAGCCCCTCCCCCAGAAGCCTTAGTCTACCTATAATTCCAAAAAATGTTAAATTTCAGACTGTAGAACCTATGTTTTATAGAGCTCAGGATATACATGCATTTTTAGGGTGTAGGGTGAAGGATTACAGAGGGAAAGACGAGTCGATAAAGATTTCCAGCAAAACCCACGTGACAGCTGTCAAAACTGCACTGCCTCAAACACCCATGCTAGCCCTTGTGTCATGACACAAGAGTGAACCCTGTAAAAAGTCACCAGGGGGCATCACATTGTGCGGTCGCGTTTTTTGGTGCACCCAAAATTCTGAGTTGGACGGGGCACTCTTGTAACAGAAGTTGTCTAGCAGGGGAACGGGGATTTATCAAAATTTTGATGTAGGGCTATAGGGCATCAAGGAGCCTTCAGGGCTCTCGGTCTGATGTAGCCATGTCTGCCATTATGGTAAACAGGGCGGGAGTCTTTCGTGGCGCTAGGAAGAATTTTTGCTGCCTGGAGCCAGATACACAAAGCAAAATAGCTTCTTGAGAACACACCCTGCGCCCGACAGGCTCTGAGCTTTACATCGAGTGGCACCATCAGCGGCGCGTCTGACTTGAGTACACGTTGTAGATTGTTGGCGCTAGAGTTTGAGATGTACTGGTCGTCAGCAATGAGAGATTGGAACGAAGGGCTCCTTTTGCGCTTGTGGCTCATTAAACGACTCAACGGGGTAGAGGGCTGGAGATGGCGAGAAAGGTTGCCAAGTCAGGTCGAGAAGATCACTCTACAATAACATCATCAGCAGCAAGAATGCATGCAATGTCGAGTCCAGACCTTCCGTTTTTCAACCAGCCCTCAAGATTACGGCTTCTGTTCAAGGTCCTCAAAGGAAGACCCAACCCGACGCAACCCGCTAATTAGACTTGAAGCTTGCAGACAATGAGCAGTGCGAGTTTCAGGCATGGCTGTGGCGTCGGCCATCCAAACCTGAAGTGCCAGATCATTCTGCAGTACATGAGCTCCTGACTCAGCCTGGCTACGGGGACTTTTGTTACGTTCTGTGAGATTTCTCGTGGGTTCCCAGATGGAAGTCACAATATGCTGAGCTGTGCAGAAACTCTATAGTCAGTTTAACTGAACCTTGATCCTAATACGGGCCAACCATCCGCCTCATTGAAGTCAGAGCATTTGAATTTCTGTGTGTTTGTGTGCGTATGGCCCCCATTAGATAGTAGTGGCTCGGGCAGGTGCGGATGACCCCGACAAAACCCAGTCATCCACCAAGTTTCGGATCGGGACTCCTATATTCCTTTGCACATAGTCAGAGACTCACAGCCACGTTGCAGAGAAGATCTCGAGCAAATCAAGAACGACACAACGTCGGTTTCTCCGCATGCCAACTTTGAAAACACAGGAAGGCAAAATAGTTTCCGAAATCCTTTGGAGGACCTTAACTTGGCACAAGCCCTTGAATGCCGTAGATCGACCCAGCTCAGATGAAGATGAGAACGTGAATCTGCGCGATGGTACAGGCACCCTGGCGTCTTGCTTGCCATATCTCCAAGAAGCCTAGGACGTGGGTACCTGGAAGCTGATGATGGTGAGAACAGTATTATAGAGTTTTTGCAGGTCGTTAAATAAACTGAGCTGATAGATTTGATCCTGAACTTCCAACCCTACAAAGAAGGACTTGATAGCAAAGTTGAGTAGCAAACCAAGTCTTGATGTACACTAATCTCACTTGGAACAACAAAGCTGGGGATAGCTGCTGTCGCTGTGACGACTCTGACGATGCAAGTGTAGAAGCATGTCTGGTGGGGCCCTTGGCACACCGTAAAGTCTTGACCTCACGGCATTCTGCTCTTTGGGGCTTTAGACTTTAGACATCCATGGATGTCTAGTTTCAGGTTCAGGGTGGCTCAAGTTGTGCTGGCTCTTGCGCTTTGGCATACAAGCATGTTCACAAAATCAGATAGCTGTGCCAGCAAAGGACAGGGAGCATTGGTCCATTGGTCCTCCAATGATTTCCCATATTTGCTTTGTCATACCTGCAGGTGGTTCTGGAAGTGGGACAACTCTGTGTTTCTGAACCTCATGCCTTCAACTCTCTCTTCGACGCGCCCGTCGATGCATAATCCATAGGCAGACTGTAACCCCTGGGCAAAGTCACGAACCCTTCTTCGCCTTCATTGAAGATTTCCTTCTCCGAAGGCCAAGACACAGCAGGCGGTGATGACAATGACCCTACAGAGGCCTCGGCGTCTTGGGGATTTTCGACTTTATAGTATGTACATACGGATTCGTGTCAGGATATATAGTGGCCATGTTGGATACATGGGTTACAGATAAGCCTGTTTCGTGTTGGCAGTGGACATAATTTCGTAGGTGTTTATGAACAGGGCCCCCATATGTGATCCGCGCAGCAGGCCAATGTATCCTCGGCGTTTGTTCGATCCTCGCAAACCCCAAAGCCTTCGCCTTAGAGCCTGAATTCTGAAAGCGCTCAAGTCAAAACCGACCAAAGAAGGGGAAGGTTCAGGTCTTCGGAACTTGCAGGCTTTCCAGACTGTGTTGTTGGAGAGGTTGCGGTATTGTCCCAACATGCAGTATCTACAATTGATGGGCTGTGCTTTGGATGCTTTGTGTTCTTCCGAAACAGGACATCCTGTTTTTTGCGGATGGGTAGGGACTTGTGTTGAAAACATATGCAGCAACAAACTCAAAGGACAGCTTCCAAGTTCAGACTGGCCGACCGTTACACACTAAGCCCTACGCCCAAGCGCCAAGCTCAATAGCCCTCATATGCGCAGGAAGGGACTGCGGAGCCTGCGCGAGGAACGGGCAGCGGTAGGCTTTTGCTCGGATTTTGGAGCTGTTGGACTGGCATTCTTTGCGCAAGGGTCCGGGTACCACAACAACTAGTGTATACACTTAGGCCCCAGAGTATGTGAGCAAGACCCCACTTGGGCTCCAAGTATGTACCATATACAGTAGGTGTTGCACCCTTGGGGTATGTGAGCTATAGCTCCAGCGCAATAAAGGGGTTGAATCTATATGGGGATTGTGCATAGCGGAGTATTATAGGAGTTACTAAGCGGGATACGAGGAGTTCACACTATAGCTCATGTAGGTAAACTCTCACCAGAGGACCCTGGGACCCCGGTAAGTAATATTCCTGGAGCTCACGCGAAACAGGATACCACGAGCCTCTGGATTTCTACCAGGCCAGGAAAAGTCCGCTGTTTGTCAAGATTGGGACCATGTGCTATGTAAGCGGCCCAGTACTAAGGTCTAGAGTCTAAAGCTGTCGAGAGTTACGACTTGGTGGGGAAGTCTCATGGTAATGGTTTCAAATTTGTGGTGCTGAGGAGTAGCAGAGCATTTGCAATCCCACTTGGTGATTTCGTGTCAGCTCCTAGTGCTATACCTCAGAGATGGCTCAGTTTCAACTTACGGTGATTGTTTCGAGGCCGTCTGAGGGCCTGCCACGCAACATTAGTCCTCGAACAGTAAACTGAGTCCGAGATGAGGAGGCGCGGTGCGATAGGGACTGAGCATGGCTACCGACTGGTCAGCGAATGGGTTGTACACGCAAGCCGCCACAAGTACTTACTTCTCGAAAAGATCGACTCCTTGGGTTCCCAGGTTTGAAGCCCCTGTGCAACTGCTGAAGCCAGGCGTGTATTGCTCGCGAGCGCAACAAAGGTCTCTACACGGCTGACAGGCTACTTCTGGGTGCAATTATGCTTTCTCCTGGGCTGGTGCATTGCGTTTTTAAACGGTGATCCTATTGCCGGGCATGCTTACTGTCAGCGGCTGTATGATAGATGAGGCCCAGAACGGGACAAGAAGCAGTCCAAGTACTCGGCATGTGTTCTAATTCTGTTCTGTCAGCGATGGTTGGGTAATGGGGCTCATCGCGGCATTGACAAGCTGCAGAAGCTTTGTCGTGGCACAAATATCGAAGCTATGTCTATGATGTAATTACGGCATGCAGCATGTGTTGCTTGTTGTGCTCCACGACGGGACACCACTGGGACTGCGGCGATCAAGCCACTCAGCTATACTAGCACGAGATGGGGAAGCTAAATTGATCCCTCAAAGTCCATTTCGAATCCATGCCTGATCAAAAGCTAACGGTGACTGCTAGGGCGAGTACGGAAACCCAAGTCCCTCATCATTGGGTACGTTGCGGCCACGAAAGCAGAAAATGCTTTTCGCCGCTCAAAGTGAGGAAGCCTGAAATTATCATACTAGAGCCTAACTAACAGGCCCAGTGCTTCGGTCGTGCGAGAAGCTTGAGAGAAACGTATTTGAGAGCTTGAGACCGCTTTGTAGGGTTCCTGGAAAAGGTGTGCACGTGGTGGTCGGCTTATTGCAGACGCAGCTTAGATTCTGATCCTTTGCTGGGCTCCAGGACAGATCAAGAGTTTCATTTGGCAGGAGGCCATTGGCCGCATAGAATTCATCGTGCGTCAAATGCTGAAGGGATGGAGGCTGTGATTGCAGTGGTATTGCCGTATGCTCAAAACGGCCTGCCTAGACATGATGTGAAAGCCCCGTTCACGCGAAATCTCAGGTCCCGCAGCCCTGTCATCCCAACCCCCTCCCTGGACCAACTCTACATAGCAAAGTGAAGTACCTCCAACAGTGCAGAGAAGGCAGATGGAAGAAAATGGCGGAGCTACTTCAACTAGGCAGAATCCGCTCCCTGCCCACAGAAAGCCAAGGGTTGGGGACCGTACAGGTAGCTTATTTATGGATTCAGGGGTGCTTGGGTCAGGAAGCCATTGAGAGCACAAGGAACGGCTGGAAGTCAACTCTTTTTAGAGGTGCGCCAACACAGTTGGGTATCGTGGGGCCCAGATAGCAAATATGTCTATATACATATACATAGTTAATTTAACCATATGTATTTGAGTTCAGAGCAGTGGGGAGCAAGATCCTTGTCACACTTGGTTCTCCCTCAATGCTATAGGCTTTGGGACACGGCATGCCATAAACAACTTTCCGCGGGTTCCTGCAAAGGCTGCGGGATTTGGATTTAAGGACAAGGGGCGCAGGGAAGCTTGCGCTGGCTCTGATGATTCAATTTGTCCAACCTGCACTCTCCAGATAAGTGCTCAGTTTCCATCAAAAGTTAACATTGCAAGAGCGTCAAGCCTTCAACTCATGCTCCTCCTCACAACTCTTGGGAACTTTGACTTTTCATTTGTTGGTTCGCTATCCTTTTTTAACAGGACCTCGACGCGACAAAACTTCTAATACGTGAGATTTGTGGAGCTGCCTGTGAGCAGAAGGCTGCGAAACCGCAAGGCCTGAAACCTTGCACCTCAAAGCCCTGCCTAGATCTCCAAAGACCAGTGATAGCGGGCTGTAACCCCAAATCACGGGGGGGGTCTAGGTGTTGTTGGTAGAATCTGCCACGATAGGATCCTTCATAGGGATGGTGCAGAACAGAATTCTGCTAGAGTTTATAAGGAAGGACAACTGATTTATACTTAAACTTCCTGTGTCCTTACTGTTTTTTTACAATCGAGGTCATGTTAGAACACCGCCTCTCATGCTTCCCGTTCCAAAGCAAGTGTTGTGGGTACGCTAAGAAAGGAATTACAACCAGTTTCAGATTATGCCAGGAGATCAGACAACAACGCTGAACCCTGGAACCACTAGACCGGAGACTTTGATAAGTCTAACTCACGATGTCTGTGTTCCGATTACGGAACTCTCTCTCTCTCTCTCTCTATGGGAGCTTCTCAAAAGAATGTCCGTTTCTTAAAGTCGTACATGCAAGATTTCATTAAATCCCCGGACTTCTTCAGAATCCATGCAGGCACTCTCGTGTTGGAAAGTCTTACTGTCAATGGCCATGTGAAACCTTCAGGAATGGAAATGGCCGACGAAGAGGTCAGCAACGACACGGTTTGGAGTGTCCGGAGGCCAGGAGGTGTGCTGCCGGGTTTCAGGCTCTCTTCTACAGTTCAGAGAGGGGTCGCGTTTGAACATGTTTCGAGAGCACCTTTACAGAAAGAGAGAGAGAGAGAGAGAAGAGACAGTGAGACGTTGCTTGCGACCATAGCAGTTTTCGATCCTTCGCTCGGCTACACATGACAATGCCCCGTGCTAAGCTTGCCAACGCACTCGGTATCTTCAACCTACAACAGTGCGCTCGGGGCTCTTTGAACACCTAAGCCTTGACGGCTTGCGTGCGTAGCCAACAACGAACAGGTTGAGCTTACGGTGGCTTTTTTGAATCGTTTGGCTAGGACTTGTTCTGGTGTGAAGTTCAAGTCGGAGACAAGGCTATGATGTGAGTTCATAGACCAAGCAGTCCATGATTTTTGGCCGGGACGCGGAGTGTAAGCCTCCTTTATGCTAAATGTTCTGCTAATATCGTTCAGTAGCGTTCAAGAGCCCTGAACCCAAAGTTCAAGCCCACCAAGCAGCGTGAACAATCCTAGTTCAGCTGCCCATATACCAGGTTCTCGCATACTTCAGGATTGTGTTGCATGAGGATTTGTTCACCTGGAGTTGGGATTTCTAGGGAAAACGCGGGCCCTCCTGCCCACAGCTTGGAATACTGAAATCATTCGAACTCCAAATGGGAATTGGTCCAAAGCAGCCGCCATAGACTTCTCCAATGGCCCCCATGCAAAGCCTTTGTAACTTTTGTACACACGTAGGCTATTGTTCCTAAGGGTACCGTAGCCGAACGTAAACAATTTCCATCTCCTAGTTTGGGCTTCTGCTGACATGCTCCCCCCTGCAAGCCTGGAGGAGCGGGACTACTACCCGTACTGGCACCCTACGCCTTGGCATGACATTGCGGTTCTTACCGAAGAGCCGCAGGTCCGTGAGCCAAAGCTGGAGGGCTAGTCTGAACCTATACCTTCAAGTTGCAGGCGAGAGTCAGGTCCATTGTCCAAGTTGACCAGGGTAAGGCCACTCTCGTTGATGCTTTTTCTCCAGGGCATGGTCCGCAGACCTTACGCTCCAGTGCAACATCTGGCGCTAAAGTTTTACTTCCAGGTGTAGGTTATGCTTGCAGGGTCAATCAGTTGGTAAAGAGTGCTACCTTTTCGGAGGCGAGGGTCAGACTTGTGCAGGATACGCTGTATCCGTCCGGTTCCTGCAAGCTTTCAACGGTGCTCTAATGTTTTCTATTCTACAGTGATAGCCAGCATGAAACACGAAGGAAGTACCTGATCCGTGCCAATGTTGTTGGGATCCTCGTCCTGCTGCAAAGGGCTTTCTTGGGACTAGCAGCTGACTTCATGCATAACAGCTGCATCCTTGAACCTCTCAACTCCGCTGAACCCTTCAGAGCTGCAACTTAGCATCCGAAGTTATAACGCCGCTTCCCCCCCCCAACCACGACCCTGCGTTGATGTGCAGGGGCACCTAGTATATAATCTTCACATCCCTTACAAACCCTTATCGGCCCCTCATCTCCTATCACTAGCTTTTTTACCATGTCCTAACAAATATATACGTAAAGACTCCATGATCAGCGGTTGGAATCATCGCAGCATCCTGCACGCCGTCAAGGCTTCTCACAATCTGGACCCAGCTTGAGAAGGCAATTTGGCAGGTTTCACAAGCCCAGAAGCCCTAATTCCTATAGCCTTTAGTCTAAAGACTGGAAGCCCTGTGTAAATGTTCTGCAGCCCATCAAGCCGGGCAACGTCTCTAAAAAAGGCCAGATGCGACTTCTACCGCGCGGAATCGCAAAATGTCAAGGACGCTGCAGAACCGATGGGTGTAGACTTTGGCGGGCTTCTATGGTGCAGGATTGAGGGCCTGCGGTCTTGATGCCTGTGCAGGGTTCAGGCTTCAAGGATAGGATTGCAAAGTTTCTGGATTCCAGATTTGTGGAGTTTAGGGTTTTGCCAAGCTTCGGCTTTAGCTTCAATACTTCACGCTTCTTCATTCCTTGTGAGCTTCCGGATTTTGGACTTGCAGGCGTTTGGCATTTCAGAGATGGTCCGCAGGGTTAAGACTTGCAGATGGCTATACGCATGTGTGTTTCCTTAAACTTGCCGAAGTAGGCCAAAGAAGCAGCTCGGGTCCGTTGTGACTGCAGATTGGCCATCAGCGATTGGGGTTGTCCAACCTTATCTCGTCAGCCTCAGAACCTCAGGCCGCCTTGTAGTTCCAAGCCTTTAACTCTCAGCTCTCCCACGTCAATGAGCTCGTGGTCTAATACCGGCCCCTTCCATGGATCAATCAGACTTAAAGACAGTGACTCCGGACCGGGATTAGAAGGGACGGGATCGATTCATCATGCACACGCATCATCTGTGACATTTGCACATTAGGGTTGAGGGCAGATTTTCATGGAAGGGTGTCCAGCTTCCTAAAAACAGATGCTGCTACAAAAGAGAGGGACCAGGTGAGTCGTGGGTCAACAGCTTCAGAACAGGCAACCCAGACTTTTGGGCTTCAGGCAGGTGAAGGGCTCGGGATGACAAGTTTGAGGCTCATAGTGTACTAGTTGATTTGAGTGGGGCGGGTGGCATGATAGCACTCAGGGCAACCCGCATTTTCCAGGGCCAAAGCCCAAGCAGCTTGGATCTACATCTTCAAGCCAAGAATGAAAGGAACAACGGAAGCAAGTCTGTGCAAAGCTATGCCACACAGGGAGGAGATCCCACCAGGGAGATTCGTGATCAAGGCTGTATGGTTGGATGCATCTGATCCCAGTGCCCAGCCCTACACACCTCAAAACCGAAACCCGAAACCTCAGTATAGAATTTGCAATGCTTCTTTGGCCCTGGCCGGTACTATCCAACGAGATTGAGGATTTTGGTCCTAAACTGAGGTTACGCAGTATCAAAGGTAAGTGCAAATGTCGCAAGAGTAGGTATATAAGTGTCGGCCCATACATTACAACGCAGTCAGGCAATCTGCTGATGGTTATCTTTGATTAACGCATTTACCCGAAGAACGATCTCAAAACCGTTGTACGCTTGATGCCGGAGAATCCTCTGTCTATAAGTCCTTATAGAGACATTGATTGAACTCATGGACTTGAAAAGATGCTGTAGGGGCACCACTGGATACGCTTCTGAGTATGAGGGTTGCGTTAGTGCCCCTGTTGTGATCGTCTTGATGTGTAATTACCCACTGAACGCTGAAGAGCATTTCTGCAGGCCAAAGGTAGCTGTTCCCTTCCGGCCTACAACAACCCGGAGGCTTGCATAGGCAACCAAGGAGCGTGTCCTGGCTTCAGGGATTCAGGGCTGTTAGCCCTCGAGCAAGTTCCCCCTTGTCTCCATCTAGGTGAATGCGGGGGTTTGGGGGCTCAGAAGGGAACACTGGACTGCAACTACAATGTGTTGCGCTTGAAATTACGTTGCTAAATGGCCTTGTTGCTGTTGTTTAATTTAAGGCGACTGCAGCTTGAAGGAAGATCTGCGACATCTGCGTTTGGTTCCCGGGATAGCCATAAGGTTTGTGTTTCAAGTCGGGCACTTCCAAACCCTAATCTCCAAACCCTTCTGAGTGGCGTCCTAATCGGAGCATCGTTGATATCGTGCAAGAAAGTGTTCGAAAACATCCAGGCGTATGCTGGCTAATATTGTGTCTGAGCTGGACCCCAAGCAAATGCTTTCAGCCCTGGTTTCAGCCCTTCATTCAACAACTGAAAGCCAAACCTCAATTTCACAAGCCCGATCTAGAATAACCTTCAAACCCCACAAAAACAAGGATAGATAGCAAAAAGCTAGACCAACAATTTAGAAGATATGCACCTGTTCTATGTATCCTCCCAAGCAAAGTTGGAACCAGGAATATTCCGACTTCAAAAGGAAGCATCGTCTTTGTCACCTGCCGTTGGGTGTTCCATGCTAGTTGGAGAAAGGGCAGGATGCATACCGTAGGCGCAGCTTTTGTGGAGATTTCTGCAAAATCACCTCCCCTTGCGACACCCGAAAGCCACCGCATCCCTATCACACCCGAAACCGTCACGTATCCACATTACCCCTTCTGACTCTCATCATTTACTGGTGCTTGAGGGGAGCAGATCCCGAATCCTACTCATCACTGAATAGTCCTCTTCAGTACACATACTTCACCCCCGCTATTTCCCTTATGGGCCAGGAAGTTTAACCAATCCTCATGACTGCGAGCACATGAAACCCAAGCCCAGGTGGTCAGAGCAGGATCCATGGAATGAACCTGCACCAGACTGCATCGGCCGCTTAGCCACAGAGTTTGCTATGCGTAGCTTTGCGGGTTCAGAGTAATGCTACTGGTGGTTAGCAAGGAACGTATCATGCAGCTACTAACCGCCAATACGCAGCGTAGTTTAGGTTTGAGGCTTCGTTGGCATAGCATGTTTCGCGCTTTTCGAGTGTGGGCCATTCCAAAGTCATACGACTTCATACCGGGCCTAGTTTAGAAGATGCGCAAGGCCTCCATTCCCTTGGCCGGCACAAGATGCTTATGCGGGGTCGATCCGCGAGCTGCTGCCTCTGCACTTCTCTTCCTTTGCATCATCATCATCATCATCACCATCATCATCATCCTCATCAACGGAATCACCAGCATCATCATCGTGCCCCCTTGCTCCTCCGTGACTCCTGTCAATTGCTAGTTGTTCCCGCTGCTCCTCTTTCTTCCTTAGGAACTACTCTGAGCCTGGACTTCATGCTTTTGCTGTCCCAGACGTATTTGTCAGATGTACCTTCAAGACACAGGCCAGCAAACAGGCTCGGGCGTTTGGGGTTTAGGGATCTCGATTCGGGTATCTGATGCTACTTTGATTTATCCGGTTATTAGCTCCACAGAAAGAAGGGCCATCTGCCCCAATATGTACCTAGGCCTCCAGGGCAAGACCATGCGGTACAAGCCGTGTGTGTTCTTCAGCGGTTGGACATGTTCTGTTGGATTTCACGTGAGCCAGGGTCCACATTCCCGGTAGTGTAAAGTAGTGGGTGTCCAATCTGTGGAAAGATGCTTAGTCTGCTGCAAAACGGTATGGGGCACCTTCTCCGCAAAACGATTTCTCTCCCTCGCCCCCTCCCCCCTCTCTCCCTCTCTTTCTCTCTCCCTATCTCCCTCGCTCCCTATCTCCTTCTCTCCCTCTTGCTCTGCCTCTCCCGCTCCCCCCTGTCTCCCTCTCCGTCTCTCCCTCTCTCTCTCCCTCCCTCTCTCCTCTC